GCATTCAACTCTCATGTATGTTTGGACTGGCACCACCTTTTAGGAAGTCGTCTCCACTTTTACTTTGCCTGAAGATATACCATTTGTTTTAATTCAATAGCCATGTTTTATTTTCCACAATTTGTCTCTTCATCACTTTTATGTTCGCTACTATTTATCGAAAGTCTTTCTTTATTAAAATAAAACAGATGCACTTTTTGTGCCGTTTCTTTTCAAGCCGTCCCCAGTCCAGTCGTACTTGTTCTTTGTGAATCCGATTTCTCTCCTTTCAAATTACAAATGAATCATTCTTTTGTAGGTACTACAACATGTTTTATGATTTTTCAACAGATATTTATTGCCCCGCTCCTAAAAGAGCCGCCAAAAAGCATTGTTTAGTGGTTTTCTCTCTTAAACGAGGCTATATGTAATAATAATTAACCTATTGAGGTTTTAATTTGGCATGTCTGAGCGACGCGACAACCCAACTTCAATTTCATAAATTTATTACGTTCCTTTTTGGAAAAACGCGACGGGCATGGCATGAAATTAGCATGTAATTACGAAAACGACATGCTAGGTTTGCTTAATTACACAATATTGCATATTTCGCGTTAAGTTAATAAGTGTGGGTGCGCATTAACTACACGAACCGATAAGGGGGTTGCGGGGAGAGAAAAAACTTTTCCACTCTAGCCATTGCCGCATTTCCCGATAGTTATCTGGGATTATAGCGATTCATATTCATGCAGGCTCTGTGTCCTACAAATAATGTGATTAATTGGTGGTATATTTGAATAAATTCAGATACAAAAAGATCTTGCACAGTGTGTCTTCGATTTAAGATCCGCTATTTTTTTTTAAATGGAAACCCATTTTTTTACACGCTTGCCAAATTTCAAAATTGTATTCCTTGTGAATCAACCCATATTATCCCAAGTAGAAAAAAATTAAAATAAAATTTTTTGCTCTGAATTTATTTATTTTGCTACATTTAAGAATACATTACATGTGTCGCAAAAAAAAAACTCGAAACATACCATAAAATACTGGTGCGTAAACGAACCACTGGGAAAAAACCTTAAATAATGTTTTGGGGCACATAAGATGTAACATATAATTTATACATAAATATACAAAAGAAAATTCAAATTCGACAGAAAACAACTAAAAATAGATTGTTTTCCATATAGAACCTGATTTGATACAAAAAAACGCATATTTTATGAGCACCCTTGGTAACACCCGTTTTAATTTTTGGTGATATTTTACAAAGCATGAAGTATGTAAATGTACATTACACTTATTACAAACTTAAATTGTGTGACTGTGGCAGATTCTACATCTCCTTCGGGCTTTATTAGCATGAACAATCATGAGGCGACCTTGATTATCATAACGCACTTCATCTCCGGCAGGTGCAATATTTCTTTGAGTAATTGCTTTATCAATTTATAGAAGTCGCAAAGCAATGTAAGATTTACAATCAAATCGATCATTTCGTCATAAAAAAACATAAAAAATATTTCAAGCGGAGTTTTTCCAGAAAGAATATTTTTTAGTTCCTCACATGATCTAAATTCATCGGATATAGGTGTGTGAGGGTATTCAATCTGACCATTTGACAGTAGACGCAAGCCTGTCGTTTGCAGCACTCATACGTCTTCTTTTGAATTCCAGGGTTTTATCATCTGATGAGTCCCATTCAGGTTCAGTAGTTGATGAATTACAGGACTGTTGAAGGACAGCTGTGTCATTCGGTGTATATAACTCGAAAGTTCCAACTACATCAGTTGGTTCTCCAAACTCTTGTAGATTTATTTTATCGTTCATATCTTCGTCAGTCAAGGTATCCACGTCGGGTGGAATATAGACCTCGTCAATACGTTCTGTAAATATTTTTTCACCTTATTTTTAGAATAAATAAATAATAATGAAACCAGTGGTGCATCCACGCACCAGTAAATATTTGCAAAAAATAGAGCATAATCAATATAGTATTTCCAATGTACAATACAAATTCAAAATATTTTTTTTACTATTTTCGATTTACTTGAAAATGTGATACAAATTTATGTACCGCTTTTGTTAAGTTTTTAAGTCATATATATTATCTTTTATGCCCTTTAGTAATAAAATTTTGAAATGGATGTGCAAAAATATTTCCTGCATGTGACCAAAAATAAATCATACAAAAATGGGTTAAAGAATATCTAACAAACAGTATCCAGTTCGAAAAACTAATTCCAAAATTAATGTTGTGGTGAAATTTTTTGACAATCGGTACACAGTAGTCATCACAGTGAAAAATGCTACACTTCTTACTTGTTTTTATTTTTTTGTTGTCATTCCATTTAGAAACTGCATTCAAATTTTAATAATTAGAATTGGATGATATTCGTAAAATATTTCTTAAAAGGCATAAAAAAAATAAAAATTTCTTATTCAACTTGGACTTGCCTTATATACGCAATACTAACAGGGATCATGCGAAATATAGTTTAAGTTTGTCTTGTTTGACTAAACTCTTATCTCTAATAATTAACGTGATTCTTATTCAACGATTGTTGAATATAATTACGAAGGCCAAAGCTATCGAGTCGAATGAATGTAATAAAAGTTGCGCATTTTTATACAACGTTTAGAAAGGTAAAAATTTCAGGGATATTCGGAAAGAATTTTTAAACTAAACTGTCGCTTTTTCGGATGCGTCCAATAATGTCGAAGTTTTTTGTGTCGATTTTGTCATTTTGTGTTTGTATATTTTTCCTTCTTACTTTTGTTTACAATTCTCTTTAATTTGAAAAAACAATATTAACGAATGTGCCATATTATCAAGATGATTAAAAAGAAATAATGAAAAATTAAAACATTACATACATTTAAAAAAATCAAAAAAGCTCTAAAAACGCAGGCTGATATCAGCACGATGCCAAGAAAAATCGAGAATGTGAAAAGTTTTAGTTTTACTTTATTATTATTTATTTACATTGTGCGTTACATCGTTCTGGGAACCAAAAGTCGATATTATTATTGGGATTCCCCGAAACGCTAAGCATCGTATTCGGATATTCCTTGAAGAGGGTTATGGATAAATCTGACGTCACAAACGCATAATAATTTATTATAAAATACATATTATTAGTAAATAATGATAGATAACGCTCTACAATTGCAAGATGTTACATAAAACATATTTTGACTAGCCAATAAAAAAGTAGTCAATTATAAAACGGTCATTGACTGCTTTTTATGTACTAGAAGTCTTAAAACTTGTTTAAGTTAGTTTTTCTCTAAAACGCTTGGGTTTTAGTTAGTTTTGGGCAGTTTCCCAGTATCTCCTGTCGTACTTATAACAGCTTACCAGTTTATAAACTAACCTGGACCCATAATCTACTAAACTGTTTTTCTCGCTGATCGAGTTTGATTTGCTAAACCTGAAGCACCCTGTAAAGTCTTATTACTCTTTATTTGGTCTATATTTTGAAATTAATTTGCTTATGATTTGTTTTATGAGTCATAGGTACCTTTGGTTTTTCGGTAAGCCCTGTATTTTAATCGGAAAAAATATCATCTGTAACAATATCCTCGGTATCAGAAGACTTATAATAAACGTAGAAAACTTTTTGTATTTATTCATTAAGTCCAAGCTTTCTATTCGTATATTCATTTAAAGAAGAACAGCTTAGCGTTTGTTTATCATTTTTTCGAAAGGTTCCTCCGAAAATGAAAGAAGAAGAGTTTAAAAGAAAAGCTCTACTATTACTCTACTACTACGGCGAAGACTCTTTTTTTTACAAGAATAAATCAAAAATTGTAGCCACGGATGGAATCTTTTAATCATTTTACGTTACTTTAAATTGCTTCAACCGATTTGAATTTTTGCGATAAAAATTAAAAAAAAAAATCGCGAAACGAAGAGTTTAGTTTTCGGACAACGCCGTAACATTCAACACAATGAAAAGTGTTGAAACATTTATTACTTTCCCATTGACTATTCAACAATTAATTACGCAATAAACCAATGCGCTGAAGAAATGAGCCGTTTTGAAGATTCATCGGTATTCTGTACGCGACGTCCGCCAAGGTGCGTTACTATCACAACACTAACAACAAATTCGTGTTGTAAAATAATTGTCGCAAAAGGAATTATTTACGAATATGTAAATGTTTTTTATCGCCGCCGTTTCGAGCGTCGGAGCGGCGAGAAAATTTGCGCGTGGATGATTCACTTTATCGGCCTCAATATGAGGTGAATTATTTATGAGGTAATCTTATCAGAGATTTGGTATTCGTTGGATCAACAAACTTTTTTGTTATCGACTGCGTCGTTAATGGCGCACAAAATGTGCCAGACTGTAGCTGCCCGCGTTATTATTTTGTATAGCTGAAATTATTTATAGTTTAATAATAATGATAATAATAGTAATAATCGCTTAATGTGTCGTTTTTGTATAGCGTTAATGAACGCTAATCAGCCAGTGGTTCGAACAAATTGCGATGATAAGTTTTAAATGAATTAAACGCGAAAAATAAAGGCAAAGTTAATTAATTGAAAAAAAAAACCATACTTTTTGTATATCAAATTTTGTACTTGATGTTATCTTTCTTTTATTATTAGAATTATTAATAAGATTTTATAGCAAAATTTTTATTTTTAATTTTTTTCATTCATCATCATTCCATCCAGTAGAAAAAATTTTTTGCAATTAAATATTACCATAACAAGTAAGGAACAATAACAATATTTTGATTATAAAAGCAGTTAACAATACCATAACTGGGCACCCATCTTTGATAGTGTTAATAATGGAATAACCAAAAGTTTCCATTTACTGGTTCCAATTGGTTACCATGGTAATATTATATCCTCTCTTGATTTACGTGAAAATTGACAAGCTAAGTGTCAGTATCTTAAGTAGATTATTATCGAAGACGTTTTTTTTGCTCCTGAAAATTTACCACACAATAGAGTAAAATGCTGTTTGGTGCGTGATACTGATGCATTTTTTTATTTTCAGATGAAAGATGGTTCAAATGGAGACGTTCAACAATTTAAGTGAATTTTTTAAAGTTCATCCTGGTAAGTGTACTTTCTTTATAAAATAACACCTCCAAATTGAAGAGTTGCATCGCGTTAATTTGACTTAATGATGATGTATTTAATACAAATATTAAATTCATTCTTATTAAATTATAAAGCGGACAGTGAAAACTGCACTATGCAACTAATCTATGTAAACTATGGACATTTACAGCAATCTCTATAACCCAACGTTCCAAAATAATAATATCTGCGGGGTTTATTATACTACACAATACTATCAATTGAGATGTTATCCTCTTTACACCTTCAGTGGGTGATTTTAAGTTTCACTGATGCCCATTACAAAGGAAAATTAATAGTTGAGTTTGCTCAAATCTGTCGTTATTTTTATATACAGTGTGTCCACGGAATGAGTGTGGCTAAGGTGTAAATGACAAAATCTTTTCCCCTCCAAATTTAGAACGGATTTGTTAAAAGTGTTATTTAAAAGGCACCGGAAATTACTAAGAAAGAGAAGGGTCTCGATTGATGAATATGAATTATGTGATTAGTATTTTTTTAAATTCCAAAGCAAGTAGCAGTTTAGACTTCAAATCAATAATGCCCGTATACGACATGAAAATAAATACAATTAAAGTTGAACTACTAATTTCGTTGCAATATTTAGTTGCCAACGTAAACAAATCTATGGCATTTTTATGGTTACAAAAGATAACCAACACAAACTCGTGAAAATTCATAATAGCAAAATATAACGTTACATCAGTAACATCTATAAATACACAAATACATTAAAGGAAATCTAAAACAAAAAAGTCACATTAACTATGATGGATTTTTTAAATTCATTCGTAGAAACCTTGATTATTAAGGTATGTGTCAAACTAAATCGATATTCTTTTAAACTGTGGCAGCTACAGGCAGGTGATTTTTTTAGATTTCACTTTCACATCTTTCTCTATTAGATTAGCTTTGCGGGCAATTCTGGGTAATTTTTTAATTTTTTTTTATGTAAGCGTGCTCGTACATTTTTCTTGTACGTTGAAATTTAAATTGCCCGCTGCATGTTTGAACGGTCAATTCTGATTGGCTGAAAAAGATCGGAAGGTCAGAACAATTAATGTTTTAATTTTACATTCCTTGTCGCGGATCACCCATTTTTTGATACAAAATTCTGAACTATTTACACTTAAAAAAGCAGTGTATCTTTTATATATAGGTGTTAACTCTCCAGTAATATAATAACCACTATAAAAATTATATAGGAAATATACTCTTTACCCCCCTAATACCTCACTTAAAAAAAAGTCGTATAAACTTTTGTATTATTATATATTTTATGATATTTTTCACTTTCACCTTGTATAGAGTATTTTCTAATTGAATGTCAATAATTAAGGGGGGCGATTTTTTAGTCCAATTTAAAAAGATAACTACAGGGTGGTAAAGTTTTCAAAAATAAAATATATTTTTTAATGTCTGTAATATCACTTTAAATATTTTAAATTTGACATACATGTACTATGTACTATCGAGAGCCATTATTTAGTGTACCACATTTTTTTAAAATTACACCGGACGTACCGAGTTTCACCTGTCTGTTTTGGCAGACATTGATAGTACGCCACCGATTTCTCTTATGAATGGTTTTCACTTAAAAAAATAAAAACCTCCTCTCTAAAAATACTTCGAAAAATCGAAGTGCGAATCCAAAGTACATCAACTTAAATAAAATAAATTTAAATAAGAATCGTTTATTATTTGGCTTATTGTTAAGATGTTAAGATATTAATTTTTTTTGAAGAACGCTAGTTTTTGATAGATATTTTATTTTTCACAAAAAAGGTTCGCGACCTAATTATGCAAAATATTATTTGTTCATTGGCAGTCAGTGGCACGCCACAGGCTTCCTTAAAAAAAGAATAACATTTGCATTCGTTTACGAGCAGATTTGATCCCTTAATTTTTTAACGATATTATTATGACCATGCAGAGAATAGGTTTAATTTTTGTAAGCAAAAACCGTACATCGGAGTGAAAAAAATCAAAAAATTAAATTTCTTATCAAATGATTGGGGATTGTAAGAATAATTTTTATTTTAAGAGAAATCAGTGGCGTACCATCAATGTGTGCCAAAATATACATGTGAAATTTCGTACGCCCGCCACTGGTGTATTTTGAAAAAAAAATGTGTTACACTAAATAATGCCTCATGATACATAGTGCATCTGCACCAAATTTCATTAAAATATCTAAAGTGGAATACAGATACAGTTAAGATGTTTAAGATATGAAGTTTTCTTTCTAAAATGGACCCAGAAATCGCCCCCTGCGATTCAATTAGAAAACACCCGATATAATAATTGTACAAACAAAAATTTGTAAAAAACTTTTTTAAAGCGAAATACTACTACTAAACAAACTACTTTACTATTTTCGTACCTAGACCGATTAAACTTTTATCACAGTTGTTGCGTATCCAACAAGACCGGTGTTATAATTTCAGATTACAATTCAAAACAAAATTAACATGGATACTGCCCAAAAATGCGCCCCAATTGGTTTCTAAAATGTGCGTTGTTTATTTGGTTTGTTGAGTTGAAACGAGCATTAATTCTGTATGTAATTCGCTTTAACTTTCTATTTTCGAATAAATTATGGTTCGAGTTAAAAATTGCATTTTGCCTCACGAATTACTTGAAATAATGATTAACATTGGTGCGTGAATTAATGAAATAATGATTAAACAGGGCTTCCAACCGTAATTTCTTTTAACAACTTTATATCCTCGTAAGATATTTTACTGATTTCATTCATATCAATAAGTTTAAAATTTATGGTGTGGATATCAGGTTGGATAAATCGGCAAAACCGAGAGAATGCTTAGTACACCATTGTTTAAATTTTTGTCTTCTTTATTTTCATTTTTGTAATGACTTTTTTGTTTTTTTTTTTGTTTTTCAGATCCCCGGACGATAGACTGGCCCCTTGTTTCAAATCCGCTCTATACGCTAGGAATATGTTTATCTTATGTATATACAGTCAAAGTAAGTACCTAATTATTCTGTTTTAAGTACAGCAATAAAGCGTTGTTGATATATTGTAGCCGTTACACATATGCAAACTGCTACCGTCTATAAAAAATATTATTGCCTCGGATATAATGTGCACACTATCGGTTTACTGCCGGACAAGATATAATTTTATCGTTCATATCGCGATGAATGTTGTCTGTTGTTTTTTCAAAAATTGTTTTTGCAATTCAAAACATCTGATGATTTCGTATGGTCTCGTTCTTATATACTGGGCAATGGATAGGTTTAACAGTATAGATATTTTGTTTAGTTGTCGTCATTTTTCGTTTTTTATTCGTGAGGTTGCTTGAGTCTACCAGCCTTCACTTATTTGGATATTTAGCTCCGTGTTGTATTGTATTGCGAAGGTCTTAGTCGTCGTCGCTTCTCATAATCTCGTATTGACACCATGCCATGCTGTCACCATACCGTTCTTGCAAATTATCTTGGTTTTTGTTCGTTTGAAGTGGAAGGAGACCAAGACTGGCAGCCAGACTGACAATTGGTCAGATGATTGCTTTGCATATCTGCAAATTGGTGCATCCGGCCTGCTAAATGTAAATGTGCACTTGGTGCCACTCTGCAGCAGTTGTAATTCATTTGCAAGTTAACCGTTATGAAACTACATTGGGTGGTATTAATAAAAACTGAGCACATACTCGTAGCAGGTGCTCAAAGAAATTTTAAGTAGATGCTAAGGAATTGAGCACATATTTACGTTTGGTATGAATAAACTTTTCTTGTGGAAACGAGCACGTCCTTTACCTTTTTAAGTATGTGCTCCGGATCACAGTGAGCGCCATATTTTTTTACAAGTCCATACAGGTTTGAATAGTGGTAGTGATTCAAGGAAAAACTGATAGAAAGTGATAAAACCAGAAACCTTACTAATCCAGAACTTCAACGTTTAAAAAGATGTGATGCAGCTGTAGGTAACTTTTCGAAACAAATATTTTCCAATGTTATGAATTTGTAAGGATTTATATCAAAAAAGATCATCTAATGTAGTTAGCCTTTAAATAATCCGTTATTTAAGAACGTGACGGTAAGTATTTCATTGAAATAAATTTGGAACAAAAACATAGTTGCTAAAAGTTGATCCTATTTTCTAAATATAAAATTCCATATCTGGAGGTGAGATTTGTTTTGTATTTTGATTCACTTACTTAGTACTGCCTTAAACTATGAATTCTGCTTGCTAATCCATTTATTCTTAGCTCTATCCTCTCTGGCGCATAACTGCCTCACCATAATCTACAATCTGTAACTCCTCATCACCATCATTTTTCACATTTTTCCAAAAAGGAAAGTCTTTGTCGTTGAGTTGATTTGCAACATTACGCAAAGTAAAGCAGGAAAACGCTGCTTCAAATATCTATGTACTACTTCCTTGTGTAAAATGCCTAATTACACACCGATCTAGCGTGCGGGAAGGGTCATTTCCGTCACTGCCACGTCAGTTTCATTTCATTTGTAAGTTCTGACGGCCATGTCAAGGAATGTATTCGTGTTGTTTTGCGAAACTGTACCCAAAAACTAACGGTCGTAGAAAAAGTATAGTATGTAACACGTTCGCTAAACTTTTTAAGTCAGTCGTTTCTTAACATCTCGCTCCGCTCGTGTCAAATAAACTCGTGGGTCAAATGCCGTTTACCGCACTTGCTGCATAATATACTATTCTTCTTCCTTGTTAAATCTATACAATACTCTATAATTAACATCTCGTCAGTCTCTCTAAACTCTATTCATGTGCAAAAACTACAGGCATAAATTCGGCCGTTACTTATGATATCAAATTTACAACTGATTTGAGCATCCTAACGAGGTAACTTATAATTATTTAAGTAACTGCTTTATTTCTATAGTATGCTCAAAAATTTTGAGTAAAAAGGAGGTAATTAATTTTATTAATGCAGTATTATTAATTTGTATCACCGCTGACGTAATAATTATTAGCTACTTTTTCGTGTTGTTTTAATTAATAAGTCCGCCTTGAACTTAAGTGACGCAAATGACAGGTGACGCATATTGACGCATATTGAAGACGAATTATGTTTATTGGTTCCGATCGACTTCTCTTAGTTGACGTCTGGGACGGCGAATATGGCGGCATGCCGCGCTCAGTCAGGTTTGTTGAAGTTTCAGCGGCACACACACGGTGTATGCAATTTGCAACGTATAAAATTTGTTGCATAACGAAATCTGTCGTTACTGTTAGCTTTTGAATAATCGCCGCCTACTATAATACCGCGCGCACAGTGACGATGACCTTCTAAAACGGAAACTTTCGGTTTCAAGGCCGCCTGCGACGCATAGACGCATTGATCATCTCGCAATCGAAAGTGTTTGCGCGTTTGCACCCGTCATTTTCACCGGGTCAGTAGGAATGTATGTCGTTTTTTATAATATGTCGGCCACGATTGTGGAAACCGATAGTTTTCGTTTAAAACACCGGTGTTATTGTAAATCTTTTTGAAAAAACCATACATAATTTTAGTGGCGTGAAGATTAAACAAATAGAACTGTTTATAATTTTTGTAAGTTGATTATTTCCCATTTAAAATACAAAAAGCTAAATTATGAAACCTATGATTACATTAATTTAAAAAAAAAACATGTTTCAATGACACTTAACATAAAAATCGAGTCATATACACCTGCTCGTCTGTAAGTTATTATTATTAGTTATAATAAAATGGACTTTATTGATAAAGAAATAGAAAATAAGCATAATACCTAATGCCCTAGGCGAGTTTCATATCCATATTTCACTATATCAGTCGCTAGCTGTCTATTCAGCTAACCTAGGCGTTAACTTTTAAACTAACAATAAATTTTATGAAATTTACAAATTTGTATACAACAAACATCTTTTATAAAGGCGCTTACCTGATAGTAGGATAGTTAATTAAACTTAATCTAATGTGTTAAAAAGATGTATTTTAAGTCAGTGCAAGGGCCACGTTAGGAATTGGTTATATTTATCAATGAAATTTGCTGTTGCAAATGAAAATGGATGCTGGCAAAATTTGGATGAACGCTTGTAGTTTTGAGAGATTTTTTGCAATTATTGACATGAGCCCTAAACCTTAGGGGGCGAATCTAAACATTGGGTTTTTGCGAAGAAAGAAAATTGATGTCTTGTTAAATCATGTGTTTTTCCTGTCTGGAACATATATGATATGCGAGAATTCGATCTAAACTGGAATGACAATGATAAGAAAACTGGGGCCAATTTTGCAATAGAATAGTGGGGATTGTTGTCTTTCTTGTTCTCCTTTGCATCGATAGAAGAATGGGGTGTGCTCGTTGTTTGATTACGTTATTGATTGATAATTTCTTTACATATTTTGATAAAATAAATTTATAATCTAACTTCTTAGAAAAAACTTGGAAAACTAATACAAATTGTTATACCTAGAAATTCAAAATATGCGAGACCTTTCTCAAATTATTGGTCAGAAAATCGGGGTATGTATTTTTTCGGAAGTAATTTTAAAAAAGAAATAATTTTATTTACCTAAATTATTTATAATTAATGATTAATTTTCTATTTCTAAATAAAATACATTATCACGTCATACAAATAATTATTAATTTATAATATTATAATCATTTATATGTGGGCACTTTATTTATAAATTATTTATTGACAATACAAAATCAGATCATGTATTCGCAAATAGGTGCAAATGCTTTACTTACCCCAAAAAGTTTGGTTATTTACGTTTCTGCGTTGTACGGTTTCCCATTTTGACTAAATGACTAACGACTAATGATGTTCGCGTATGCCTGAGTTTTTGGAATACAGGCGGGGTCTAGTATTAACTCTAAATAACATTTGGTTCACAAAATTAAAAACTGATGTGTTTAAAAAGTCCGTAAAATGTTTAATCGTTTTTTCTATTCATTTCAGGTGGTAGGACCAAAAATAATGGAGAATAGGAAGCCATTTGAACTTAAATGGACGTTAGTCATATACAATTTATTACAGGTCATATTTAGTACGTGGTTATTTTACGAGGTAATATTCTTTTTTTATTTATATGCCGGCTCACTTTCGTTGACATATTTCATATTTTTTTGCAATGACGATGTATTTGGACTAATGTTTTGTAACTGAAAAATTTTTTGCATTCCAGATCGGTATGGGAGGTTGGTTTACGGGCGAATATAGTCTTAGATGTCAGCCAGTGGACTACTCGAATAGACCGAGCACAATACGAGTAAGTTGTTGTTTTAATGACAGAATTTCTCGATAAGTAATGTTAAATTTTTGCTTGCAGATGGCGCATGTGTCTTGGTGGTATTTTTTTTCTAAATTTACTGAATTTTTAGACACGGTAAGGCCTGAAAAGAAGTCTGCATTGCCGGTTGATGTTCCCTGCTATACCCGGAATGTTTTTTTGCAGGTTTTCTTTATATTAAGGAAGAAGTTCGATCATATCACTACTCTGCACGTGATACATCACGGGATAATGCCAATGTCGGTATGGTTTGGCGTTAAATATACTCCAGGTACGGATTTTTCTCGTTTTAGTGTAGGCAGTATGACATAAATTGTCTTTCAGGGGGACACAGTACCTTTTTTGGACTGTTGAACACATTCGTCCACATAGTGATGTATTTCTACTACATGCTTACTGCCTTAGGACCGCAAGTACAAAAATATCTGTGGTGGAAGAAGTACCTTACTTCTTTGCAGATGGTGAGTATAAATTTTACCGCTTTGCAAAACTCAAACAATTAAAACAAATTTAAAGATATTTACCTACCCAAAGAAAAAAGAGAATTACCATTTTTCGAATTTTTTCGTGAAATTTCCGTATAGGAACTTTGAATATCAAGAGATCGAGTGTGGAAGTTTCTGCCTTATAATAATTGTTGGTTGTTATCTGTCTATATGTACAAAATTAGACGTTGTGCAAAACAAGTCCAATTAAAGTTCGGCGCTACACCTAATCAATTCTTTTAATTAAATGTTGGGTTATGTTAGATTTTCGCGTCAAATAACACCTATTTAATTTAAACAAAAATTATGGTCATTTAGATAGGTATGTGTTTTGGTTTCGAAGAAAAAGCACACTTTGGTAAACATTTATGACGCACTTTTTGATAATTGACAGCAGTTTTTGTACTTTTGAAAACAAGATCGTTTAGGCATTATTTTAATGTGATTAATGGTCAGTTACAATAGTTATTTTCAAAGTAGAGTTGATGAAGTGTACTTTGTTGTCAAAAAAATATTTCTTGCTGATAAAATTCACAAAAAAAAAATAAAAGATTTGCTAGCAGAGAGTTTCCAGTTCTTTTCTTGAAGATTTTAGTTCCCCAAGATTTCTCAGCTGTGGGTCAAGGTGACGCCAAATTTTGATGTCACTGTACCAAAATGGGTTTCTAGGCCGCGTGCTATGAGGAATCTTTTAGAACTAAAATAGCATTGTTGTAGTACTTTTCCTCAATAGTTTCGCTCGGACGGAAAATTGTCCCTTATCAAGTGTAAACAAAACCAACCACCTATGTAGTTAGTGGTATAAGCTGTTAGGTGCAGTCAACTATGAAGCTGTCCACTAAAAACGCTAGCTGCTATCTCAGATCTCAACGTTTCGCCTTTTGCGTTTTGCCTTCCTAATATACGACACCCGGCATTCAGAAGGACTTGATAGACGCACCTCCACCTCTCCATCCCTCTTGATTGGATGTTTTGATATGGCACATCTTAAAATGACGCATGATTGAAACTTTTTTAATCCTTTTGCTAATCTTCTGATGAGTAACAGTGAGAGAGTGGGTTTTCGTCAGGCGGCTACATTATCGAGTCTATTTTACGGGAGATTTCTCGGTATATAACCGTTCGGGGGCAAATCTGTTTTAATATTATTCAATTCAGCATGGAGGGATTCTTGGTCAGTATTTATTGTCTTTCCACGTTTATGTTTTCAATATTTTTAGTGGATTGAAAGAAGATAACGTTGAAATCTTGTGATCAATTAGATGTGTGTAAATAGAAATGTGAGTTTTTGGACTCCAGTGTTTTTTTTAGGATTTTCTTCCGTTCCCACTGTGACTTTTTTTCAGTTTTAATCTCAATATTTTTGTTATATTTGTTATTTGAGAATGTGATCTTCAATTTCAGATCCAATTCGTGGCGATTATGGTTCACGCGTTCCAGTTACTGTTCATCGAATGCGATTATCCGCAGGCGTTCGCTTGGTGGATAGGCATGCACGCCACCTTGTTCCTGTTCCTCTTCAAGGATTTCTACGATCAGGCTTACAAAAAGAAGGAAGCGAGAAAAATCGCGGCGGTCAATGGAAAATTAAACGGTCACAACAGCGGCAACGGGGTCCACAAAGAACACGCCAACGGACACGCCAAAGAAAACGGGACGTCATATCAAAATGGCGTCGGTCACCAAAACGGCAACGCGAAACAGAACGGCGCCTACTTTACCAACGGATCAGCCGATCTGCACCAGAGGATAGTACAACAAATGTGACATATTAGAGTATGTACTTAGTATTAAATTCAAGGACATTATACTTAAAAAATTATTCAAGTTGAATAGCGAGAGGGACCATTTTAGGTAAAGAGAAATCAGTAATTCTATACCGCTATTTTTAACAAATAGAAATTGGGGATTTGTCCAAGCTTCAGTGTTTTGCATTCCCCAAAAGCCTTTGGGTTTTTTTAAACGTCATTTTCGAACAAGAACGTGTTCAAATTTGTATTCATCGCGTAATGAAATTTTTTTTAGTTTGTAAACGGCTAACAACATTTGTTGAAAATAACATTAAAGATATACTTTTGTTTAAATCTAGTCTACGTAAGAGTGTTAAGGATTTACGATCCATTCCAGACATTGTACATACTTATCTAAGTCTGTTTCTGGTAACTAACTGGAAAAGGAATGTAAAGTTTATAACGGCATTTTTTTTTTCAAGCTTTTAACTATTTACGGATGCAATGATCGAGTAACGTATGTAAATAAATAAACGTCGTCATTTTGGCCGGTGACGGTGTATGCAAAATCATTGCAAATCAGACAGATAAGAGTGAATGTGTGCGATTTGTCATTGAAATTTCCCAGTCAGTTACTCAGAATTTCCAAGGCTTGTGTCTCGTAGAGTCTAGCGTGTAACTATAATTTTTGTAATGTTTTAGGGTGCTAAATGAATTATTGTAGTTTGTAAATTATCGAAGTTTTATAGGAAACATTTTTTAAAGAAATATTTATAGAAAATTGTTGGAGTGGCCCTAAGTCATAATTTGTTATATGGTAATTTTTTTTTGTATAGTTTCTTGTTGTAATTTAAAATATTTTTAATAAACTCTCCAAAGAGGTGTGCGTTTTTATTTCCTTTATTATCCCACTCAGAGTTTTTTTTTTTAAATTAACCTAAAAAAAGCTGGTTTTCTACTCCCGTCTGTAAAATACCTAATTACCCACCGATCTAGCGTGCGGGAAGTGTCACTTTACCACGTCAGTTTTGCTCCGCTCGTGTCAAACTCGTGAGTCAAATGCCGTTTACCGCACTTGTTGCATAATATACTATAATGTTGAGTTAGCGTATATCAGAATTTTATATCATCAATAGCGCACAAAGAAACGTCTTTTTTCAATTTCAATTTCAATAAATAAAAATATAAGGAATAAGTATTATGATAATCTCATAGGAGTGAGAATGGTACATTATGCAACAAGTTTTATAAACGACACGTTAGTCAAGATGCATTGGGTGTTGCATATTATACTCTTTCTAAGATCATTAATAAATTTTGGGTACATTTTCCAAATAACGCTAATATATTAAATGAGTGAGGTTAAAATATCTATAGAAAATATCCTTGCGCATTCAGCAGAAATTTGAATTCTTGATTAACAATTTTTTCTTAATTTTTAATTAAAAATATATATAAATTCTGTTATTTTCGAAAGATTATAGGGGATTAGAAAAAACAATGTCTCCGTTCAAAAATTGTTCCCCCCAATTTACGTACTCATTTTTTTATATCAAGGTGAATTTATAGCACGCGGCTTATCGGATATCCGGTTTGATAGCTTTTTAAAATTCCCGACCCACCTTTTTCGATTAGGCAGTGATACGGAATTTTTATGAAATTTTGTTCAATATGCCGCCATAATTTCGATTATGCAATTAGTGTGTAAAGTGATAAAAAAAGTATAAAGTACAAAACTGGAAAAAAAGTGTCAAATTTCAAAACTAATTTGTCTTTTATGCAATAATAATGATTTCATGATTTCGACATTTCAAAAGTTATTCCCACTATTCCCGTCCTACCAAAGCACGTCACGGGATTGCAATTGCGCCGCCCAATGGAACTGGCGGATGAGTTTAAGTCGAAAATTAGCTTGACGTTTGTAACCTACACGACGTTTCGATCGGATTGTTCATTGCGGCTAATTGATTGGACGTCGCAACCACACAATGACAATCGCGATATTGCATTGGCCTCGTCTCCGCCAAGGGAGGAAATTATTTCCTGTCAATACAATGCCAAATTTCGGAAATATCAAGGTATATTCGATGATCATTCTTCCGGACAATTGGGCAATTTTTTCTATTTCTCGAGCCTATATTAAGAATTATGCACCTGCATTGGATTTGAATTCATGGCACCAACATGGGCTTTTACAAGTCGGTTTGGTTACAAGAAGTATTTCCATGGCGAATTTCTTAACTAAGGGATCACAATTGCTTCTACACCTGGATATCCTGTTCCGTTAGTATTTCATTTGACATCAGGGCCTTGACCGCTGTTGTACACAATCTACACTTTTCACCATTTTGGATGGTGAATAGTTAATTTTGTGATATCATTATCTTACAAAATTTGCTTGTCTGTTGTTTACATTACATGTTTATATCGTCTTATTAACTTCGAATCTTCACTTCTTAGAGTTCAATATTTCAATTACGCATCATGAATGTGATAATTTTGGCCAAAGATTATGTAAATTTTGTAAATTTTGGAAACAAATACACTGCTAGTCTATCTTAAAAACTATACACTGTACACTCACAAGGCTTTATGGTATAAGTTTACAAATACTTTCAATCGCATAGTTCATAGTTTGTAATATTTTTTACATCAGGAAGTTGATTATATGTGTTGGAAACCTGATAAAATAGGGTTATATAAACCCCTATTACTTTTAATGGTGCTGTAAGGTACATAATTTAGTTTCCTGATGTGTGAATGTATATTTCTGCACTTGTTTTTTGAATTTTATTTAAAATTCTATAAACAAGTTTACATTGTTTCACAGACAGGAACTAAATACCTGAAGTGTATTAAAAGGAAGGAATATATATTAATGTTAGCATTTACTAAAAATGTGTCTAATGTGTTCAGTCCAACTTAGCTTATTGTCAATCAAAAGTCTTAAGTATTTTATTTTTGATCGATGCCTTTGACATTACTAAAACTTTATACAAGCACAATGTCGTCAGCAAATGTATAATGTCTTAAGACCGAACCAGAGTTTTTCAGACTAAGCACTTAAAGGCATTAAAATAGCCTTGTGGCACCACAAAATTACAACGTTTCATACAGCTGATATAAATACCTATTCTTAGATACTGTAATCTATCTATCTATAATTGTATAATGTTATACATGTGGCCTCTGAACTCCATACAATATATTTTCTTCAATAAAACATCAATACTAACCACATCAAAAGCTTATTTGAGATCTATAAACACTGTTATTACTACGTTCCCTTTATTTAATTCAGTCTAAACATTATCTATGCACTCACTAAACACACTCTCAAGTATATTTGCAAAAACACTAGTGATAATAACCATCCATGCATTTTCTACAACCCGACTTAAATATAGGAATATTCATAATTTTGAAACCACATCAAGTTGCAGAATGCCCATTTCGATCTTTCAAAGGAATAATATAACATTTTTATTACGTTGGGATTCATCATCTTCTTGCAATCTCTAATCCAGGAAAACAGTATTTGCTTATAATAAATTTCCAATCGAAGAGCAATCCCAGGTCTCTAAACAACTTCCTAACTTCTTTCTCTTTAAAATATTTATTTTTATAAGGTTTTATTTATTTGAAAAGTTTTGCAATCACCAATCTTTGATTAAGATTGACCTTGGCTTTTTAAAAAAATGTCAATATATGACGTATATGTTTGCCGAGCTTACCGTTCCCAGTGAAAGATTAATCACCAAGGTCATCATCTGTGCTAATGTTTTGATGCTTTGAAACTGTAGACGAGACGACTCTGTGATCCAATAGCGAGTTAAGGACAATATCACCGCGTTCAACTTCAATTTTCTCTTGGAAAACGTTCCATCGTAAAAGGAAATTACTTTTTCACGAACGCTCAGTGTCGGCAATAACGAGCAGCTGGAACATTGTTCGTATGTCTTACACTAGGCTCGGATTCAATCTATGGCGAGTGTATTCCGAAGCGAAATATAAATTATTGTCGTTAAAAACCCTGATTGGACCGACGTCATACGCGAAGGAACTTCTTGCTTTCGCGTCGGATTCTACGTTAAGGGTTTTACTACTAAGAAATAATCTTCCAGTAGTCGATCTCGAACACTGTACGGGTTGTTCCGAAATACAAGTTTCAAACTTTAACCATCTTATTTTGTGTTCAAAATAAGCCCTAGTTTCGTAAATAACCATTTGATAAGAAATGATTAGTTGTCGAAGTATAGAGTGTGCAAAAAACTCCTTTTTTACTGTTTTTTTTGTCTCCATCTTAGTATGTGCCTGTATATATCATATTTCAAAATTCCTTTTGTTATTAGTCCCCCATTGGAGAATCGAAACCATCGTGAACTGAGATACACTAAAGGACTAAATAAATATTTCTGTTATTTGTTGCTTGGTTTCTAAAAACTAACCAATAACAAACAGCATTTATAAATTAACCTAACTTTACCTTTAATTTTAATTTTTGATTCAAATTCAATGATTCAAAATTATTCAAGGTTTCAATATAATTTTTTCATCGATTGATAAAATCAAAATTCTTTACTAAATGTCCTAATAAATGTCTTAAACATGACTTTTTCTATAAAGAAAATTAAGCAATTAAAGTTATAAAGATAAATTATTTAAATGAGGAAAATTTGTTCTATTTAAAACAAGCAAGTTGGCATTTACTTCTGGTATAACTGCAAGTGCCGATATCCTATACATATCACGAGCATGGACCACCGTTCACCGTATAACCTCAAATTTTGAAATTTATATGTGATGCGATAATTTTTGTGTGATCATCCATAATGTACTCTTAAAAGTGTTATTTTATTTATTTAGCTTGTAAAGTACATAAGTTTTCCAAGTCTGGAGAGAAAACAAAATTAACAGGCAGAATAAATTTTAAAAATAAAAACTGCTGGAATATCGAATAGCCAGATTTTATGTATGAGCTTTTATCCAACGTAATTTATACGGGCATTTGCATCAATCTCCTGAAAACGAATATGCTTTTTCATTTTAAATATCAATTGACTGGCGCATTTAAAACGCATTAGGACATATCCCTGGATAGAGGCTATCCGCAATACTCTCAGTCGTGATATACAGTTTCGCTGGAGTGAGTGGAGAAAAAAGCTTAGAATAGAATTGATATGCATCGAATACGCATCTACATAAAAATGGGTTTTGCAAGAATTTAGTTTGGTCCCGAGCCAAAACTTTCTGCTCTTGTTGCCGCTTGTATTCCAAATTTGTTAAGAACTTTTGTGCCTTTCAAATAAAATTCGCTCGCCAAGTTTTCCTTCGAGGATGCTTTTAGAGTTCAAAATATTAATTTCATAGACTGGTAGTTTCATTAGTATCGGGTCTTTGATCAGCGGAGCAAAATATCGGAGGTATTTTAAAAGAATTCAGCGTCATTTAGATAACATTTCCGAGAACCCTTAGTGGGCTCCTTTATTAAAAATGTATTTTACCGCTCCTTGATTTATTACGGATTGTGAATTGTGAATACTTTAAGTTTAAGTTTCAGATGGAACATAAAGGAGAAGAAGAAAATTTATATAATTACGTAGGATATTCCACAAGTTAAGAATTGTTATCAAAATTTTCAAAAGTCGTCTCTATTAATTTCCCAAACACTTAGTTTTACTAAACAAAAAAAAATCTAGTTGTTTTTAGTTTGTCAGAGAATCTACGGTACTATACCGCAAGGTTTCGAATAATGATTTCTCAGTTTCAAATTTTATAAAACAGGACTTTATGATATTAAAAACTCGGTTTTTCTTTAATAATTATTTAGGTACATTTTCTCAAGTAAATGAAAGATGAACAAGTCAACCAACTA